TAAATTGTAAAAACAATCAATAAACAACAGTAGATAATTTCTGATTCTAGCTCCATTAGCAATCTGTAATTAATTATGCACATTTTTTAAATTCACATAAAATATCGTATTATTATTTATTTAGACTTCAGTTCTATGATAGAGAATAGAGTGAGAGATTCTTATTCAATTCGATGTCTGAAAGCTACGCTGTTCGACTGTGCCTACGAGCTGTTTTCGAATTCCCTAAATTTTTCTTTGGGAATTAAAACGTGCTAATAATATCTACAAATGTCCCAAACAAACCCAAAATCAGTCCCAGGTTCCACTTGGCCAATTTCGGAATTACGGCATGGCGGTTCCGTCGTGCTCCGGCGACGACGCCGTCGCCCACGGCGGCGGTCCGCCTCGGGTTGGCTATTTTCAGTTGATTCTGCATTGATCCCTGCGAGAAAACACGTTAAAAGGTCTCGCTTAGCTGAAAAAATACAAAAAATTGAAACTCACCAACAGCGGAGCTCTTCGGTGCGGCGGCTCCTCCGGCTCACATTGCGATTGAGTGTTTTGCTCCGGTCAACTTGTAGAGAAGGACACGGTGATCACAACAGTGAAAAAATTACACATAATGGGAATCGGAAAGGGTCTCATCGGAGGCGTTTTGTGAAATTCTCCGCTGTGGCGCCGCCGGGTTTCGCTAGCGTTTTCTGGCCAATTGGCCGGTCTTTTTACTTCGATTTGGCCATGGATGTGCCTAAAATTGAATTTCAAGCAAAAAAAAATTTTTTAACCTTTTTTGGCAGTCGGAAAAAGATCGGTGCGGTAGCAGGTGACGGCAGTGTCCTTCCCGACGGTCGGGTCTTCTTCTCCGGTAAGGGGGTCTGGCGGCTAAGGTTAGGGTTTGGTATGGATGAGAGTTATTTATATCTGTTCGTTTTTTATTTGGGTTGTCCATCGCGTTTAATCTAGATCGTTCGATCACGATTAAATAGAGAATGAATCTGATACAATCTAGGCTATCTATCGCGATTCACTTTGGATCGTCCGATCGCATTCAAATCTGATCGTCCGATCGTGTTTGGGGAGGGAATACACCTGAGCCGTCCGTACGTGCGGGAACGAATCTGGGCCGTTCCATTGCGGGCACGCGGATCACCCACGTGACACTACGTCAGCATTCGTTGTCACGCGCGTGTCCTGATTCACCGGGCCTGCTGATTGGGCGTCTGACGTAACGAAAGTTCTCTAAATTGAATTTTGATCTTTGATTTCCCTTTTTTTTTTTCAAAAATACTTTTAGAACTCAAATTTTTATTTTTTTTTAATTTAATCCTTTATTAATTTTATTTAAATTTTACTTTAGATAAATAAAAAAATTGAAAAAATTATTTTATTATATTTATAATAAAATTTTAAATTACAAAGAAACTAATTTAATTTAGTACGTTACATCATGATTCTTTAAATATAAAAGTTGTCCTTTAGTAGTTATTTAAAAGCGTTGCCGCAAGAGTTTTTTAGGCCCTTTGTTATTTCCAATAAATATTATTGGAAAATTTATAAATCCATATTAAAGAAAAAAAAAAAAAAAAAAGAAAAGACTCTCAGTGGGTTTCAATCTTTTTTAGACATTGCTGAATTTAACGAAAGATTGCAGGGGTTAGAATTAGGAATAGATTTTAATTTCATTTTTGTAGCTTCCTTGTCATGAACATTCCTATATATCTCTGTTATTAAATAAGTGGGGTAAGAATTAGGAATATTTTTATTTTTCTTAAGTTAATTTAAACTTTTGAATTAATTTTATAATGGTCGATCCATGGATGAGACTGATCGAGTTAATACAACCCAGAAGAGCACGGATGCAGCAGAGGAAGCAACTGGCATCACCATTGAAGATAATCTCATTTGTTGGCACTTTGAGATAAAGAAATGGAGGAATTTGATTGACAAAGTGATGAACCCATCTTGAACGCGTCTACCCGCAGAAGCATATAGTTGAGCTGCATACATCCATTCGGGTAAGAGGATTTAATTTTATTAAAGTTCATATCAAATGAAGCTTAAAAAAAAAGTGCAGTTTTTCTTGTTAAGAACAAAAGTAGAGGCTAAAAAAAAAAAAGATTTTTTAACCAGTTTTTCAAATTAAATGCCAATTTTTAGAATTATAGTTTTAGAATGTGTTAATTTAGGAACCTTTATATTAATTTCACAAACTCTTTAACATAATTTTGATAAAATTAATTAAAATTACTGTAAACTATATACAATATTATGAAATTCGTTAAAATCTAAAAATGCCCATAAAAATACATAACGATGTTCGTCAGACATATTTGTGTTTTACTATCTAAAATGAATTTATAGTGATATTCTTTATGCAGTATTAATACATTAAATAAATTACTCAGCATTTAAAAAATTTATTTATTTTTATACTACTCAGTCTTGGTTGTTGCAAATAATGAAACAAATTACAACATCTTAAAACTAAAAGAAAAATTCAAACCGAAAGTTTAGTTTGATATTATGCAACAATAAACAATATAATTTACTACAACTGAAAACTGCGTTATGAAATCTGAGTAGTCACACTTACCAGAATTATCAAACCCCTGAAAATAAGAGCGGAAAATATTAGCTGCCAGCAATCCCAGCAGCACCAAAAGAAATATATCCTTCCTGGTAAGCGGCCTTTTAATTGTTGCCATTTTAGTTGTGCAATCCATAAAGTTTCTGCTTCCAAATTTTTCACACTCTCTCTCTCTCTCTCTCTCTCTCTCTCTCTCTTCCACTCTCTAGTTGCTATCCGAACTAGCGGCTAAGTGCCAGGCTGAGCTTACTGCTTTTCTAATAGGCAAAGAGGAAATCTGTATGGGTTTCACTCTGTGAGGGTTGTCAGTTATATAATGCAAGATTCTGAGAGAGAAGTCAATTTGCTTCCCAGTCTACACGCCGAGTGGACGCAGTCTACACGCCGAGTGGAAGCAGTCTACCCGCTGCTGCCTGTTTATTTAGCTTTTATTGAAATACTACCCATTAGCAATTTCCTCTTTTGGTTTGACGTAACTCTGGATTAAAACCCACGTACGAGCTACAAAACAGTGTTTTGCTCAATACAATACGAATGATTTTTAACTGCTTAATTTATTTATGGTTTTTGAAATTGCTCACCGAATTAAAAATGCCCAGATGACGAGAGGTTTTTAATGTCAAGAGACTTTTGGATGCTTGCTTACAGATTTTCAGCCTTACTTGTCAAGAAAAGAGTATTTTAATGGCCGAAAAAATTTTAAGTTTTGTAATGGGTATACATTTATGTGATATTAACATGGTTTCCAATTATTTTTTAAAAAATTTATGACAGATTCTTATTGGCGTGATACTCTACAGATGTAATATTTTTTTAATGGCTTTTTTTTTTTTTTTAATTTAATGGTCCGAATTTGACAAGCAAAACAAAAATTTTGAAAACTTCAGCTTGGGCCAAGGGTAGAAATACTAATTTTTTATTTAGTACTAAAATTATGATAATTGATGGTTTTCTTAGTTTCGTGATTTAGAGATTGGAAATTGATATTGAAGAAGAATGATGTACACTTTCCTCCCAAGCAGAGACCAATTTTACTTGCATACAAAATAAGTTGATTACAAATTCTACACGTATGACTGAAAGAATTTGCCTCAAAACCATCAACAACAATTTTTTTTTTTATCATCAAGAACCAAACCAATGCCAGAGAAGTTGTGATTGTTGGATAATAGTTTTGTGTTTGTATTGTTAACTATGCAATTAGATTAGAATTCCAGGACTCCAATAATTGAGGACGCTTGGTTTAGAACAAGTTTAGATATAATGACAATTTTATTTTATTTTTTTTTGTTAAACCATATTTAGTTTTAAAAGAAAGAATGTGCGAATTGAATTAAGATGAGAAGAAAAATGAATATCTATAGAATTCATGAGATTAAAAGAACATATTTAAATCCATGTATTGTGTAATATTCCCATTAATTTCTAATTAAAATATATGAATTTTGAAAAATGGGTTATATAAAAAGTTTTGAATTAATCATCATCAGAAGCTCAAGGCAAACGACAGTGGATTGTGTTGCTTTGACAGATTCAATTAATTTTTCTTAAAGGTTCCAAGAGACCTATAGTTTATAACATGATAAAATTACTTTTATAGAAAATAATTCACTATTTTCTAATAAATATAACCTTCTTTTCATTTTCCTGTGTAAATTATATGAGAATTAAAACCTATATTTTCTATAAGAAAACAATTATAAAAGATGGTAAAAAACAATTACAAATTATAACTTTTATATTTATATTTACAAGAAGCAGATTTTGGCTCTCAATTTTATACCCAAAAAAAAAAAAAAAACTTATCGTACCTGTTTCGTTAGGTTCGTGGCAGCTCTCCCCTTCCATTCTCCCCCTAAGTCTGGAGAGGGCTTTGTCGAGAGAGCGTTCTGTAACTGCATTCCTTCTTCCAACATCTACTATTCCACCAAGTCTCCTTCCCTATTCCAACTAAACCATACTTTTCTATATCCTCACAAATCAGCTCCTTGAAATAAGCTTTTCCAAGTAAATATAATTCAACAATTAGGAAATTGCAGAATAGAGATAAAATCCCAATTCCAATTCCCAAATCTCCCGCAAGTCCCAAGAAAATTCAACACCAACCGAAAACATTTGAGCTTGCATTTCTTGATAACTGATTTTCGAGTTAATCAAGAATACTACTGAATCAGCAGCTAGCTAATGACTATGAAATCAAGCACGCTAATTCTCGATTTCAATGGGGGAACCGACTAATCTACCATCTCATTAACTGGATCTGTAAATTAGCATGAAATACACTTTATCGTAGCGTATATCCCTATGATTGAACAGCGAACACAGCCAAAAGAGGAAAATAAATTCAATTTACATAACAATGAAAGGGCTAAAGCTTGAGACGAGATTGAACAAAATATGAACCTGCTTCTACATATGTCCGAGAGTTTGATCATTTGCTCAACCGATCCAAGGCCGCTCGAGCGACGGTGGACTCCGGTTCGATCTGCAGGGCCTCCTGATACGCGTTTATAGCCTCCTCTTTCATCTTCTTCGCCTCGTAACATTCGCCCAATAAACAAAACGCCTTTACGTTATCCTTACTGAGCTTAACTGCCTGAGTCAGATCCTCAATCGCCGGGTCGACCCGGCCTCGCCGGCTTATAGCGAGTTTCAACTCGGCCCTCTTGAAAAGAGCATCGCCCTTTTCCTTCTCGCTCAACGACTTGGCAACGCGTGGTGAGAGGGCAGCGTCGAGGGAATCGAGAGCGGAGGACTTGAAGCCGAGGATGTCCAGGGCGAGGGCCTTCAGGATGTGAGCCGCGGCGTCTAGGGGGTCGAGGGAGATAGCTTTGTCGGCTTGGGCTTCGGCTTGTTTGGCGAGAGAGACAGCAGAGGAACGGGAGGTGGAGGATCTGGCTTGGGAGAGAAGCTGGGCGCCGAGGACGAAGTGGCGCTTGGCTTGGATATCGGCTCGGCTACGAAGACGAAGCTTGGAGAAAAGCTTCTTGGGGATGTCGTGCATAGCCAGGAACATGAAGAGGGTGAGCAGGATCAGACCTGCCTGGAGAAGAATGTCGCTGAGCATCTCTCTCGGTTTCAGCAGAAGGGAACTGGGTTTCCTGATCGGGTTTCTTTCCGGGCGGGGACGACTTTTACCTCAATAATAAAAGACACTATTTGTGAGGGTCCCAATTCATGATGCGGCTTAAGGCCATAAACAGAGCAACTGCTTGGGTTTAATTAATTTAAGTCAAGCTTTCCCATATTCAATTCAAATGAACATTATATCAGTGATCTACTATAATTAAGTTAGAGTTTGCCATATGCAAATCCTGATATATGTGAATAAAATGAACATTATATACTCCCTATTTTTCTTTAGGTTTAAAATGTGTATAAGTAAGTAATTAAAAATAATATTTTAATTTATAAAATGTACGGTATCATTTTTAACCAATTGAAATTATAGTCAAATCATACAGTATATATAACTCACTCAACTAAATTTTATTGTCACCCACTTAAGCAAACTTAATAATCATTTTAGTTATTATTTATAATATCGGAAATTTTTTTCTTTTCTGCGTGTGTGTTCGTCCTGTACAATAAGCGTTATATATTTAAAAAAAAAAATAAACATTAACGAAAATTTTACTAAATGTAAATTTTCTTAAACTTGGTAAGAGTTAAACTATCAACAAGCTTTGTAAATTTATTATCAAATTTTACCATTATCATGTGGTTTAACTTAAATGGGACAACTTACTTTAGATTAATTTGTAAACTAAAATTGATATTTGACTTATTTTTTTTTATGAGATTATTGAAATTGAGAAAATAAAATCAGTGTTATTTTAACTAATTTTCTCTTAGAATGATTATTAATTTATGTGAAATCGTACTTGTTATTTTCATAATGAATTTCAATTATATATTTGTATTATATGTACAAATATATTTTAGTAACCTATTTATCTTAGTTGTATTATATATACGTGTAAATGCTCTTAAATGTATTATATGTTTTGATAAATTCAAAAGTATGTTTAATTATAGGACATTTTCTTACTAGCTACTTATAACAAAATTTAAGCAAGAAATGTTCAAGCACTCCTGCGTATTTACCTAAAATATTTATTTTTTCAGCATTAAATAAAAACATAGAAAACAAACTATAAAATGTAGTAATAACAACAACAATTTTTTTTTTTTTTTATTATTATTAACTTTTTTATTCGATATTTTTGTATGATTCTGTTTCAACATATTTTATTACCTCTTATATTTCTAACATATTAATAAAATTTATTAGTTTTATTTTTATTTTAATAAATTTATATTTTTGTTACTTCATTAAATTTCTCACATTATTACTTTTATTGATTAGATGCTGAGCGTGTTCTTCCTTGTTCTTATAGTAAACTAAGATATCATCGATAAAAATTATGACGAACTGATCCAAGAAAGATTTGAAGATCCTATTCATCAAATCTATAAAGATTGCGGGTGCATTAGTCAATCCAAATGATATGACGAGAAACTCATAATGTCCATGACAAGAAATCAATGATGAAAGTACTATCAACATCACTCTGAAGAGGAGGCTACTTGGGAACGGGAGGACGAAATGAAAACCAACTATGCGAAACTTTTTCAAGCATGGTGGTGTAGCGAAATTTGATGGACCAAATTTTTTTTAAAAGAAGGGGATATTGTAATAGCCTATATATATGAGAGAGGATGAATGGTTGAGATTATATGGGTATTTGACGGTTAGAATTTGAGGTTAGGCTGAGAATAAAAGGGGGCTCGGGCTGAGAAAAAAAGAAAGGAAAAAACAAAGAGTGAGCGAGAGAAAGAGAGAGAGAAGAAACAAAGGGAAGGAAAATATGGGAAACGTGCGAGAAAAATAAGGAACCGAGTTAGGGCGAGAGACGATTGACCGGAAGTTTCTAAAAGGGAGACAGAGGAGTATGGAAGTGAGAGGTAAGAAGAATTTGGAATTTCAAACTTATTTATGGCAATACACTATGTAATCTTGTGTTGTAGGTTAGCTAAGGTGCATTGAGATAGGGAGAGGGAAGTAGTGAGGTGTTTTAGATGAGGAGGTGTGATTGAAGGTTTCGAGCCTAAGGAAGAAAGAGAAAACATGTCATGTGAGCCGTAGGGATGAGCAATGGTCCTAGTAGGTAGGGGTATACCATATGTGAGAGAGTGATGAGTGGAAAGGATTCATAATTAGTGTTGTGTAGGCTAGAACATAGCGTTTAAAAGAGAAATTGGTGTGTAACCAAGAGGTGAGGGGGATGTGACGTCTATACACATTGAAAATTGGACAATAGGAAGAGAAATAGATGGAGTAGTGGCCATCTGTTGGCTGGTGATTATCTGTGTAGGTATGTGAGTGTGTGAGGCCATTTGGCGATGTTTGCACATTCTGGTGTGTTGGTACAGCGATTGGTGGCTCGTAGTATGTATATGTATAGGTGTGTGGGTGTGTAAGGCCATTTGGCTGATGTTTGCAGGTTCTTGTGTGCCGGTACGACGATTTGTGGCTCGCAATGTGTGTATGTATAGGTGCGTGGGTGTGTGAGGTCATTTGACCAATGCTTGCACGTTCTGGTGTGTCGGTGTAGTGAGTGGTGGCACGCGGTGTGTGTATGGCCACTCGGTGGTCGACAGGGCACTCACTTGGTCAGGTGCATGCAAAGCCGTTAGCCGATATTGACAAGTTTCGGACTAGCCATTCAGTGGTCGTTTGATGTTGGGATAGTGGTGTGTGTATGATGTTGTGGTGTGCTGGTGCATGTGGCTGCTTTGTGGCCAACATGTGGTTGTGTTGGTTGCTGATGGGGTGAGACCCCAAATGCAGTAATGGTGTGCGTGTGTGGTCCCTTTGGGTCGGTA